ACAGAGCAAAAACCAGATTATCTTGAGATAAAACCTGAATGAATTTCCACAGCATGGTACAACCTGATGCTTCTGAGATTTTAAAATAAGAAATCTACTAGCTGAGTGCTTTTTTTTTATGTCAGAAATATACTTATTTTTGCAACTTCATAAGGTGTGTTTTATTCCCTTCTACAAATGAGGATCCTAGCTCAGTATGTTAACTGACAAAATCGAGTAACCAGTGGCTACTCTAGAATTCAAATGGAAACATCAAGAACTAATGGAAAGGGGATGGGAGAGGCCCAGTCAGTGAAAGGCGTGCTGCACAAGCATGAGGACTGAGTTGAGACCACCATTCCCTGATGTGGCAGGGTGTGGCAGTTCACACCTGTAATCCCAGTGCTGAGGAGACAGAGACAGGTGGGACCCTACATCTTGGTGACCAGTTAATGCATTCACATCAGTGATTCTGTCTTAAACAGGAAGGTGGAGAATGGGTAAGTCAACCTGTGGTGTCCATAAGCCTCTACTCATGCATGCATGTCCATCAACCCCATAGCTCCCACAGAGACAGAGACAGAGAGACAGACCAAGAGTCAGAGAGAGAGACAGAGACATAGAGAGAGAAGCAAAGAGAGACAGAGAGACAGACCAAGACAGAGACAGAGAGGGAGGGAGGGAGAGACAGAGAGAGTGTGCTAGTTGACTGCTTTAGAAGTTCAATCTCAGTGTTCATCCAGTATAAGGTAATTCCTTCACCCTCACCTTCAATGAACTTTAATTATCCATGAATATAAATCTCTACTTATACACTCACACTGAATACCATTTTAAATGCTGTTAAAAAATCTCACAATGATTTTAGAAGAAGAATGAGCTTTAATAACTTTCCATTCTACTTTTCTGAGCTAATTTCTCAGGCCTTCTTAGTTCACTTTCTTGTTTAACTCTTCCATCCTTCCTCTCCAGTCAGTCAAGCCCTACCCTTACTACCTCACTGAATACTCAGGCTTGCTTCACATCACAGTCCTTCTACCCTGACTAGGACTGGGGTTCCAGATGTGCACCACCACATCAAGTCATCTGTTCTTTCTTGATGAATCTATTATAACTTTAAAATAGTCTTAATATTTTCCAATTTCTATAATGATCACTACTATTTTTAAGCATTTATTTTTATTTGTGTGTGTGTGTGTGTGTGTGTGTTACACCATGTGTGTACGAGTGTTCAAGGAAGAGCTCTGGACCCCAGGAGCTGGTGTTATAGGGTTGTGAGCCACCCGATGCAATTCCGGTGCTAGGAACTTAACTCAGGCCCTCTCAAACAGTAGCAAATGCTCTTAACTGTTGAGTCATCTCTCCAGTCCCATCACTGTTAATTTTAATACTTTTTTCAATAGTACTTACCAAAACCCTAGTAAAAATTGCATATATAATATAGAAAAACATTATAACAGTATAATATTGATAAAAAAGGTTAAATCAATTCCCAGAGATTTATTAGGAGTTATTTTTTGTTTGTTTTTGTTTTTCGAGACAGGGTTTCTCTGCATTATTTTGGAGCCTGTCCTGGAACTCGCTCTGTAGACCAGGCTGGCCTCGAGCTTGCAGCCATCCACCTGCCTCTGCTTCCTGAGTGCTGGGATTAAAAGCTTGCGCCAGCAACGCCAGGCTGGGAATTCTTTAAGTAAAGCTTTGAGCAGGGTATCTATTTAGGAACTACAGAAGCACACAGCAGTGTTGATGGAGTGTTATGTGACAGGGAGAGAAACTGGAGAGCTTGCGCCTGAGCCACAGGCTTAGCTCTCTGCTCCTGCTGGTGTTTGCCCATAGGGCTGTTGCTAACCTGTGCCACAATGATACAAGCCAAAGAGAAGTAGCTTGTGTAAGTCCCTTGAGCCAGTGCTAATTACCAGTGGCAAGAAAACAAAACACTAGCCAGGCCTAAGGACACTTGCCAGTTGAGCAAAAGTTTACATAATTGACCTTGACAGACACAAGACATGGGAGCACAAGCTTGAGGAACCTGGTCTCACACACTGATGTAACTGGCGTACTGACTGTGTAACAGACCCAGTTAAGGTTGTGACACTCCCCTCATGAGGATGCAGCACGCAGCAGGAGAGCTCTATCTACAAATGGGTGCAAAAGCTACCGAGTTTTCATCAGCATCAGGAGAGTGCAGGGCGCTTACTTGCTGACTCTTCTAACACACTGGTAGAGGTCATTAAAAACTTGCCTTGCTTTTTCTCTGTTTTGCATTGTCAGTTATATGAATAGAAACAAAGAGCGGCTTGGGGTGGGAACCATGTACCCCGAGACTATTGCTAAACAACTATGGAGACATGTTATGATTACATTACAGGGACTGGATAATAACTCAGTTGGTAGAGTGCTTGCCTTGCTTGCAAGAAAGCCAGGGCTTGATCTCAGCACCACACACACTGGTTCATGCCTACAATTTCAGCACCTGGCGGCAACAGGAGTTCGAGGTCAGCCTGGGCCACATAACAACTTGGAGGGCAACCTGGGTTACATGAGGCTTTATCTCAAAAAATTTTTATTTACATGACTTGCAATAATTCTAGAAACCAAGGAGATTTAACTTTGACTCAGCGTCGCAAAGAAGGAACTCCACATGTCATTGTAAATAACTGGGCATGGTGGCACACGTCTATAACCACAGAGCTTGGGAAGCCGAGGCAGTGGAGGCTGACGTGTGCCGTGGGTTGAATGAGAATGGCCCCCACAGGTTCACAGATGTGACTGCATGGTCACCGGGGAGTGGCGCTATTGGGAAGGGCTGGGAGGCGTGGCCTTGCTGGAGGAAGTGTGTCACTGGGGGTGGGCTTTGGGGTTTCAAAAAGCCTCCTCCCAACTCAGAGGCTCTCTTCCTGCTGCTTACAGACCCAGACGTACAACTCTCAGCTACTTCTGCAGCACCATGTCTGCCGTCACACTTCCTGCCTGAAGAAAACAGAGTAAACCTCTGAAACTGCAAGGCCCGACTAAATGCTTTATTTTATAGAGTTGCTGTAGTCATGGTGTTTCTTCATAGCAATAGAAACCCTAAGACACTGAGCTACCATACACAGCAAGCTCAAGGTCAGCCTGCACACTTAGACTGCATGTCAAAAAAAAACAAAAACAAAAAACAAACAAACAAACAAAAACAAGGCAAGGTTTGACTACTCTAAGCACATTGCTTTAATGAGCTACATTAATCTCTCTCCTAGCCTCCCCTCCTTTCTCCATCTTTTTGGACAGGGTTCTTTAGTATTGCTACATACTGCCTACAACCCCATCTTATGGAGGTATTTTGTTTTAGTTGAGGTTCTCTCCTTTCAGACAGCTCTGGCTTGTGTTAAGTTGACATAAAACTAGGCAGGATACAAAAAAACATTTGGTCAGAAAAGTCTGCTATTAGGCCTAGAACTAACACTTAAAAAGCCAAATATTAGCTGGGTGTTGGTGGCACACACCTTTAATCCCAGCTCTCGAGAGGCAGAAGCAGGGAAATCTCTGTGAGTTCGAGGCCAGCCTGGCCTACACAGCGAGTTCCAGGACAGGCTCCAAAGCTACAGAGAAACCCTGTCTCGAAAACCAAAGTCAACAATTATATATTTGGTAATCCAGTTCACAAAAATCTCTTTCACTACACTACTGCTGCTAAGAATTCAGAAGAAAGGGAATGGGAATACAAGATTAGTGTCATAGGGCCTAGGCCTTAGCCTGGTGTAGGTTCTCCTGCCTGATGTGAGCTCAGCCCTGGGTTCAATCCCTAGTGAACACGTGCACACACCACACACACACACACACAGACACACACACCACACACACTCACACACACCACACACACACACACCACACACACCACACACACACCACACACACACACACACCACACACACACCCACACTCACACACACACACCACACACACTCACACACACCACACACACACACACACCACACACACACTCACACACACACACACCACACACACCACACACACACTCACACACACCACACACACACCACACACACACACACACACACACACACACAGAGCCCGGGGAGGGGCCTTCATAATAACTCATGGGTTGACACAAGAAAAGGAGAAAACAGACATTTTATTAGAACATTTCATGTTTAATCCAGACCCCAGCATGGATCTTGCGGAGTTTCACAGAAGGAAAGGAAGACGCAGTGCAAGCTGCCATTTGAAAATAACAAGTGGTCAGGGGAATGCCCATGTGACACACAGTTCAGACTGCAGGAGACATTAGCTGTAAACTGTTTGACACAAAGCTAGAAGGCTGTCAATTACATCAAGCTATCAATATGAGTAAAAAGAATACAGAGTTGTGATGTTACCTTTGCAAAAATTGTTTTATTTTGTTTTCCTCCTAATTATCCTGCTAACCCCCCCCCCCCGGAGATGGAAAGGGGCAGGCTGATGGCAAGGGGGTGTGTGGGCCCCCACGCAGCCAGAGCTGGCACACACTACACTCATCATTGTGCACAGGCCAGGCTGAGAACAATGACTGCTGTTGTACTGTACCCATAGCAGCTGACCTGCCACCTCGGCAAACAGGCTCAGGGGAAAGGCTCTGAGTCATCAAACCACAGAAGTTCACCTTAGGGTTTTATACACATTAACCTCATTTTAAAACAGGGGAAAACATTCAAATTCAGGATTAACGGACCAGAAACTGACTGAAGAGTTACAACCCAAAATCAACACACACACACACACACACACACACACACACACACACACACACACACACACACGGTAACGTGTTACACACCTGTAATCCCAACACTTGGGAAGCAGAGGCAGGAGAATGGCTGCAAGTTTGAGCCTAGTCTGGTCTACACAGAGAGTTCCAGGCTAGCTCCAGGCTAGCCAGGGCTACACAGTGAGACTCTGTCTCAAAAACAGCAACAGCCGGAAGAGCAGCCACAAGCTGAGGACCACACCAACCCTGCTGGTGTAGGGTCAGAGGGACAGGAGCAAAGGCTGCCTGACAGTCAGCCCTCCTCATCACTGCTGCTCCAGGCATCCTCAAACGCTGGATTCAACTGGGACTTAGTTGTAGCCTAAAAAAAAAAAACAAAAACAAAAAGAATCTATTTTTGTATTTCATAATTTTAGGCTCACAAAATAGGCTCAAAATATGCTATTTTAATAGATTATCTGGAAACTGTATTACTGCTAGTTTAAAAACAAAAGTAGTGTAAAGATAATGTAAACTCATTTAAAACTAACAAAATTGACTCTTCCAAAATAACTAGATTTCCTCAAAGTAATTAGCTCACAAATGCATGTGTAGACCTACTCTATGGCACTGTTCAGGGTTTCCTCAATGCTGTGGAGAAGGCATAATGCTGACATGCTGGTGTTAAGACTGGATACACGCCCACAGCAGACTGGTCGGAGCATCCCTCACCCTTGAGACAGTTCTGGGGCTCTGTAGTCTAGGCTAACCCCAAACTCATCACAGTTGAGTGGTTACAGACGGTTGTGAAGCCATATGTGGGTACCAGGGATCTAACCCACATGCTCTGGAGGAGCAGCCAGTGCTCTTAACCACTGAGCCATCTCTCCAGCCCACACACTACAGTTCTGTTGCTCAGCTGGCTCTGAGCTTGTGGGAAACCCCCTGCTTTATCCCCTGAGGGCTGGGATGATAAGCATGTGATACCAAGCCCAGCTGAATAGTATAACTTGTAATAAAAAATTACTGTGGGTTATTTCACAGATATGGCTCTTTGCTTTTTTACAGCCAACAGTGCTAAAGCATAGGTAAACTATAGGGAAACAGTAGCATGACTAATTATTAGCATGGAGGTTTCCCTGGGAGATTTTTCTGAAAGCTATTTGGATTGTTTACTCAAAACTGCAAGAAAGTATCACAATATTCTTCTGCCTTAGAGCCATAAGTGAAAAAGGTTTAGCAACCAGAGATACTACTTTAATCAATTATCAAGTCAGTTCACTTGTATGGGAGATCAAAATGCAAAGCTAGCCACGGCCATAGAAGCCAGGCAATGGTGATATATACCTTTAACCCAGCAGCTACACTAGTTAGCTGTAGAAGCTAGGTGGTGGAGGCACACACCTCTAATCCCAGACTCAGGAGATAGAGGTAGGTGGATCTCTGTTAGTTCAAGGCCACACTGACCTACATGAAATCGATCCACTCTAAAAGAAAAACAGCTTACACAAAGATGATCTCAGCATTTGGAATCACATGCCTTTAATCTGAGCACTTGGGAGGCAGAGGCAGGTGGATCTCTGTGAGTCTAAGACCATCCTGGGCTACACAAGAGTGAATCATAGCTCGAACCTTTAATCCCAGGATTTGAGGTGTGAAAAGAAGAAGCAAAGATTTAGTTTCCAGACAGGGAAGGCATAGGATTGCAGTCTGAGGTTTGGTGGAGTGATGGGGGAAGTCCTTCTGTATATATGTTTCTCTTTCTGGTTGATGAATATAACACTGATTGTCCAGTAGCCAGGCAGGAAGTACAGACGAAGCTACCAGAGGAGAATTCTGGGGAGAGGAGGCTGCCAGAGAGAGACGCCATGTAGCAGCCAAAAGGAGTAACATGCTGGAGAATTATAGGTGAGCCACAGCCTCATGGTAATACAGAGTTTAATAGAAATGGGTTAATAATCAAGAGTGAGCTAGCCAATAAGAAGCCCGAGCCATTGGCCAAACAGTTTCTAATTAATAAAAGTATTTGTGTGTTTATTCGGACTGAAGGAGATGGGACCAGGCTGGACACCGTCTATAGTAGAGAGCATTGCACTCTGTGGATTGTGGAGACAGGATCAGCCCTTTTGAGCTGAGGTAGAGGTAAGAGCTGGTGGCCTGGCTACTTTGCTTCTCTGATCTTTCATCTTGAACCCCAATATCTGCCTCTGGGGTTTTTATTAATCATCTTACATATTTCGTAAGGACAGAAACAAAAACAAGATTTTTGACATATTTGCACATATGTAGTAAACAGACATTTGGAACACATCACACTATTATATATTTTAGTATTAAAACAATCACAAATAAAACACCTGTGGTCAAGAGCGGCAGTGACAATGCTACAGGTGGATTTGGTACACATCACGACTCCAGAGCCCTCTACTTTGGTTTTCTCTACAACGTCTCCTCCTAGTGGACATCCGCTAGGTACGCACGCATGCACACCGCTCCCTCTACCTTGCCGGCTCCGGGAAGATGAAGCTTGAGTTTAGAAGGGGTCCAGCCCAGAACCCAATACTCAGCAGGATTAAAACAAAGCATCACAAGGATACGTCTGGAAACATTTCAAGTGCTACTGGAAAGTCTCAGAGTTTTCCAGGTCAGCAAGTGATAGGTCTATCTGCACAAGTGCACAGCAGAAACACCATTTACTGTGCCAATGTCAAACGTTTTGTTCTGAGACTGAATCTTGCTTTGTGGCCTTAGTTCCCTTGTGCTAAGATGACGAGAATGAGTCATCACAATCAGCTGGAACTAGGATTCCTGCTAAGATTAAAACTGAAGGGTGCCTTCCCCATACACCTCTGGCAGCTAAATGTGCCTAGGAGTTAGACTGGCTTGAGCTGGCTATGGCAACTAGAAAGTCTGGGCAAAAGCAAACAGACTCCTCAGATAATAATACAACAGCTTGCTAATTAAACAATAAAATGTAAAGACCATAATATTTATTCCTGTCATCTAAGGTCTTTCAATTTCTACAGGTAGAATTAAGTTACTCCTTTAAAATCGGAGAAACATTCCTCTGCTTAGGTTCAAAAGGAAACCCAAGACCAACTTTGGTTTGACAATCTGATCCGGGCATTTGAAAATACCACAAGTAGCCCCAGGGTAATAGTTGGCAGAGCTTGTTGACAAGGGCAGATTGGAGTTGACCTAGCCAAGGTAGTGCATATGTATGTTTTTTGTATTATGCTGAGTCACTAACACCACCTCCCCTGGAAATGGCAAGTTACCTGTTTAGCAGCTTAAGGAAAAACACGTTTAAACATGAGTTAACCTGTAAACATCTACATATGCAACCAGTTCTCATATTTAAACAGTTCTCAGACTTCTCTGCTGGGGTACATACCATAGTCACAGTCTACCTACGTTTTATATGAACCTTTTAAGATAACATTTCATGGAATTAAATAACCTTAGCATATAGCACTTTATATTAATGAGCTATTCACACCTTAAAGTTGACAAAAGGAACAGTGTATTTTATTTTCTTTACTTATTTTTTGTTTTTCAAGACAGGGTTTCTGTGAATAGTCCTAGTTGTTCTGGAACTCTCTCTGTAGACCAGAATGGCCTTGAACTCAGAGATCCTCCTTCCTCTATCTCCCTAGCGCTGGAACTAAAGGAGGGTACCAGCATGCCTGGCTTATTTTATTCTTTTTATTAAAAATTTAACAGCATGAGTCAAAAATTATAACAAGCAACTTAATTTTCTTCTAATATTCTTTCCTCTGTGTAAATCACAGTAGCTTTATTTTTCATTTATTTTTATTATTTTCACTTGGTAAATGATTGTTATATTTCCTACCATGACCTACAAAGTTATAATTTTAATATATATATGTACATATATATATATATACACACACATATATATACACATATATAGTGATTTTCAATAACTAGGACATAATAATTTAATAAAAACGCAAAGTAACTATCTAAATCAAACTATTCAAAATCCAGTCACCCAAAGAGGCTTTATGCTAAAACCAATCAAGCCATAGCAAACTAAATTAGACATGTGATAAAATCTGGAAATATTCATTTGGTTTTGACCAGTTGCCTAAATATTTATGAATGTGCCTTATCTCTTTTATTTGGTTTAGGGCCCAAAGAAAATAAGTCCTAGGCTTCATATTGACTGTAGCAAATTCAGTTATAAAATATATTTGGCCAATAGCCGCCACACATTACCAAGGAAAGTTGTCTCTGGTGTCTCTGATAGGCTCTCTTTTTATAAAGGAACTAAAAACATGAACGTATTTTCAGACTCGCTCTATCAGTGGTCTCTCTTTTTATAAAGGAACTAAGACTCGCTCTATCAGTGGTCCTCGTCCATCTCGGTTTCAGTTGCTTCACATCACCACAAGGGGAGGCCTCCAAATAAAAAATGATAATAATTCTTTCATACACATTTTTATATCCTTCAAGTTAGGATAAATTGGGATGTTTAACATCCAGAATAGTCCCTGAAAGAGATGATACCTTAGACAAAACATTACATAGCAGAATTCATGTTTAAAGACCAAAGGTAAGCCTGTTCCTATCACCCAATGCCTATTAGTTTATGCACAGGCAAATGTTTCCACTGCCCACCAGGAGAAGGTCCCTAACATACTAGCGCTCAATTTAAGAAATACTCCTTCATGGCAGGGCTCTTGCCTCCTTTAACACCTTCACCTAACGGCTTTTATTCAGTCACATTACCCTTACACAGGCACTGCGAGGTCGCTGATCTAAGTGTGAACCGGTAAGATTCGACACTGTGAACAGACTTTAAAATTTAATAGCTCCAGCTCCTTCCACAGTTGCTATGCCATCTACACTGAGGAAGATCCAGAAAGTCTGTGGCTACATGGCCAGAGCCCAGCTGACAGACAGGCGCCACAAGCAACCAGAAGGCCAAGGTAATGCCGATGCATGTGTCACCACAGGATAAACTTAGACAAACACCCTCGGGTGACTTTGGCAAAGTCCGTATGAGGTCACACCACGTACAGAGGGACCAGTACTTATGTCCAGCTGCCCACCCTGGTAAACTGTGAATCTTGGCAGTGAACAGACAAGGTAAATGCAGCCGCTGTCATCAGTGCAGCATGGAGATCAAGGGGAGGAAAGCTCCCTGAGCAGTCCCCACTACGAAGCCCAAATGCTCCAGAATAGCCAAAGACAAGATTAACTATATTGGTCGCTTGTGTCCTGGTGGCTTCAAACCACACAGGGAACAGACAAACAAGAGCAGATAACTCTACTTAAGGCGACTATCCTAAAACTAATTAGAAATAAGAACAACTTTCGAAGATAGTACCTTGACAGTTCATATCATTAAAAATGTTTCTAAATAGTAGCTGAGCAGTGGTGGCACTCGGGAGGCAGAGAGGCAGGCGGATCTCTGAGTTCTGGGCCAGCCTGGTCTACAGAGCAAGTCTCAGGACAGCCAAGGATACACAGAGAAGCCCTGTCTCAGCCCTTCGCTCCCCCCCACAAAGTTCCCAAATAGTTATTAGTGACACGAATGGGGGTTACTGTATCATGTCAATGAGAGGAGACTGTAATTATAATTGAGAAATTATGTGTTACTTAGGATTTTTCTAAATTTGCATACATGTATGGTAACAAATTATCTGTACAACCAGAATACAGCAAGAACTGCTTTAACAGTCTCTCCCACATAAGTAAAAACACTAATGCATATAACTCATTGCACAGTAGGTAAAAATAGCACTTACTTCATCATCATCATCAGGAACTGGTTCATACAAAGATGGTACCCAAGCCAGAATATTACAGTCCCTGCTACCGCTGTAAAGCTCCTGCAATATGGAAAGCAAAGACTGACTAGTGATCGATTTAAAGCTGGTATCACAGGGAAGGAGCTGCATCAATTTTTGAAATGATCAGAATTAAGTGGGTTAATTGAGTTAGGTTAGATTAATTCCATTAATTTAATTTCTATTCATTAAATAAAATATGATGATGCTCTTCAGTATTTTTAAATGTGATGTCTTTAAATTCTGTACCTGACATTGGCATAACTTCTTAGAAATGCTACAAAGCTTTTGGCTGAGTCCTGAGATTTCATTCTCCACAGAGATCATACCAATTTGTACCTCTATAGAGTATCCACTGAACTGTCCTACTGGAATCTTTTTAGGAATAGCCAATATATTATGAAACTTATTTTATATTTTAAAATAGTGCCAGGATATGTCAGAGCTTACAGTGACAAAATCTTATAAAAATTCGGTGTCTAACTAATTTTGTCAATACTCATAGAACTACAACTTCCTATTTTATACAGTACTAAGTCTGGCAAGCCAGGCGTCTAATGGTTTTAAATCCCGTAAGTATCATTCTTACCTGGAAATTAGACTGAAACACACAGCAGTCAACACTTTTATAATGTCCCTTAAGCATAGTTAGATGTTCTCCTGAGTAAACTGCATAGACTGCGATGGTGCTACCATACGGAACAAAAGCGAATTCTGAGCTGCAGCCACAGGAGACCGTGAATTTCAGTCCTTTCCTACTGTCATTACAAACTTTCCCATAGTTCACCTGCAGATTTAAAATCATAAAGTTACTAATTTTTTAAGCCAGAGTTAAAAAAGCAACAAAGAAATACTTCCCTTATTATGATGTTATATACAAAGGGCTTTTAAATTTAAAGAAACTAATATCTTAAGAAAACAATGAACGTTTTATATTTGAGGAAATAGAAATGTGACCATCAAACTCCCCCACCCCCACCTTTTGGTACCTGAAGACAAAAGTGAAGGCCTCACGGATGCTAGGTGAGACCTCTAATCTTACTACATTCCCAGCTTCTGGTTTGGCTAAAATTTTAAGAAACCTTCAAGCCGGGCGTTGGTGGTGCACACCTTTAATCCCAGCACTCAGAAGGCAGAGGTAGGTGGATCTCTGTGAGTTCAAGGCCAGCCTGAGCTACAGAGCTAGTTCCAGGACAAGCTCCAAAGCAATACAGAGGAAACCCTGTCTTGAAAAAACAAAAACAAAACAAAACAAAAAAAGAAACCTTCATATTGGTGTCATAATTTGGTTATTCCTTCAAACAGGACAAAGGGTTGAGTAAAAGAAAAAAAGAATAACTAGCAAAATGCCTCTTTTGGGTGGGCTCAACTTTTCATATGAATGTGTTGCGACAAAACCAACACAATATACACCTATCACAACCATTTTAAGTGTGCCAGTAAATAGTATTAACAATCTTCACTTCTATCAAAACCAACTCACTGAACAATAATGATATTCTTACTTTTGATCTAGTAATTTCTCCTGGGATTTATTTACCTTCAGGAAACAATTAGGCAGCACAGAGTAATATGCCCAGAGGACTCAATTCAGCACAATGGCAAAACACCTGAAGATGGAGAGAAGCTGTGCCTCCAGCCACCATGTGCAGCCCTGGTGAAGTACACCAACACTGAATTTGGATTCTGAAATCTATTTGTTAGGGGTCAGATTGCACTTCTAAGTTCCATTCCCCTAATCTGCTAAACGGAAACAGCACCATTTACCACAATGCCATTGTAAAAATACAAATGACATTCATACACAGGAGAGCACCTGGGAAATGAAGAAATGAAGGTAGCCAGCCAGTTACGTCCAGACTTACTGACTCCGACATGTTAGGAAGCACATTCTTTCATTTCCACCAGATGAACCAGTACGTAGCCTTTGACTGTGGTTGAGGTGGCTCTGAAAGCTAGAATGGGCATAATCGGGGAGGGGCAGGAGCTTATGGGTGAGGGAGAGTAGAACACACATGATATGAAACATCACCGGAGGGTAGCTTGGAAATGGGGAAAGGAACAGGAGGAGGGAGTTGGGTTAATGAAAACTAAGGCTGTTTGAAATATCCTTATGGAGACCTACTACTACTAAAGGAGTTTGAACACAGGTACCGTGCATGGGTGGACAATGCCTCCCACAGAAGACACAGTTAAGTGAAAAGCTCAGTGCCAGGCATGGGATACTTTCCTGCAAGTTACTGGTCAGTGAGATCCCAGAGGCCCTTAAAGTACCAAAGGACATAGCCATTGTTCTTGTTTGCCCACCATCATGGCATAACTGAAGATGCCATTCACTGTAGATGCAGTACATAGAAAAACCAAGTTAGAGCTGACCCAAAAACTTCACCCATGCCAGTGAGCTTTTACAGTGTTGGAAAGTGCTGTGCAGGCCTCTGGAGAAGTGTTATTAATAAATAGTATTACCCAGAGATGAACCCTAAATGCAACCACACCAACCTGCCATGGCCAATGTGCCCACTGGTGTAATACTGTCAGGAAAGACCTTTGGGTAAACAACCATTTACTGAGTGGATTTGAGGCCACTGTTACTGCAAACCCAGTCAAAACCCCGTGGCTGTGGAAATGACACCTTGTGGAGGGGATCTATTACTATTGCTGAATAAACACGGAATCACACAGCCTTGTAATTATTAATGTTTACACCAGCAGATCAATGCTGCTCTCAACCCTGGTCAGAGGAACTTCCTTTTGCAGTGGGCAGCAGCTAGTGTAAAAACTCATCACTGACCCAAGTGCATGCTTAGTCAGGTAAATGGAGCACTGTATCAACCCCTGCAGGACTTAGGAAACATCACAGAAGAGAAGACAGAAAGAAGGGAACATGTGGGAAGGCTAAGTAATTTGATCAATGTCTCTTGGCTAGTACATGTCAGACTCAAATACTGCATCTAACCAAACCACTGAATCATTTTGTTATATGACTTTTTTTTCATTGTATTAAGTAATGGTCATAGTATACTGCAAGACAAGTAAGTCCAGGGTACTGTGGGAGCTTCTGAGACAGAGGAGAAGAATCAGAGACAGGCTGGGCCAGAGATGAACCTTGAAAACTGAGAAGTAGCAGTAGCGGGCAGTAGCAGGAGGGTATTCTAGAGAGAAGGCCACCGTCTGTGCAGCAGAATGGGGCAAGGAGAATGCAAAGCCTGAGCACTAGAATGCATGGCTTATACAACAGGTGCTGGCGCTCCGTCTGAACAATACAGAACTTGGAGGAATATGTGAAAGATGTCCACTGGAGGAGCTAGAGACAGTTAGGTTATTAGTGTAATTAAACAGACACGAGCCAGCAGCTACACAAGGGGGAACTAACAGCACCGTGGGCGGCAGAGTCAATGAACAAAGAACAGATTCCCAGTTCCCTACGTCATCACACAACAGGAAGGATAGCGCCAATGAACACACCCAGTTCCCTCTGTCATCACACAACAGGAAGGATAGCGCCAATGAACACACTCAGTTCCCTACGTCATCACACAACAGGAAGGATAGCGCCAATGAACACACCCAGTTCCCTACGTCATCACACAACAGGATGAACAGTACCAATAATGGAGTGGACATCACCAATTCCCACTCTGAATTCTTCTCTTCTTTCATTGTGCCAAAAAAACTTGTCTCCTTGTAAACAATCTCTGCAGGAACTAGCTCTGTACTTTAGGGCATGGTCTACAGACTTCAAACCACAGGGAGATTATACCACGAACCATTAAGGATCCATTAAGCATGGTATGAGGGGAAAATTTTAAGAATTCTATTTCTATTTATTGTTATCTAAAACAATAAGAAATTAAGCTTTACTAAGCTTAATATGTAGACTCAATATTTGCCTATAATTTATAATTAAACATTGGAAATGTGTACTTCTACATATTTTCAAAACTAAGGCAAAAACATATGATTGCCACCACACTCTGTCCTCCATTTGGCAGCTCCATACTACATTTTTAACCTTGTAATTGTTTCTAGCCAGGTGATATCCATGATTTACAAAACGATGACACCCAAACTGAGAATAATATAAATTAAGTGAATTGGGCTAGAATTTGTTTTTTGATCTGACAAGCCCTTTACAAATTCGAAGACAGGTTTCTTCCCAGAGTTTACTTTTTGGGATCAGTGTCTCAAGTCCCTTCAAGTCAGCTTTGCTTATCTCTTTACAAATAACTTACTTTGATGAAACCCATTAAAAACCCTATTATCTATTCTACACCCACTCTTCTAGACACGGAGACAAAAAGGACTAAGCCACATTAACCATGGACCTGTGTTCAGTACCATTTGCAATCATCACATTAAGCTGTGACAAACACTGTAGAACGATCCTGCCACTTCGCTACTGAAAGCATTTTACTAGCTCTCCATCTTGCCTCAGACAGATTCCAGGCCCTCTCCACACAGTTACATGGGAAGGTAGGGGGTGCAGTTAGTGGCAGTGCTTGCCTGGCAGGCACAAGCCTCTGGGTCTGTGCCCATCACTGCACACACTACACACACAAAGACATTTGCATCCGTATTAGCATCAGAAATACTAGTATTAATAGTAGTAGTCAAAGCCACTTCTCAAGTACTTTATAGAGAATTATTAGCTAGAAATGATGTGTAAAGAAAAGGGTAGGACTAATTTTAAATGTAAAATCTGACACTGGTAACTTTGTCTGTAGCAGTTTCCAATCTTTTGATGAGAAGCATCAGCGTTCACTCCTACTACAACAGTAGGAGGGGGGAATTGCCAAGCAAGGGTGCCAGGTGGGGCAGCTTGCCTTAGCTTGAGAGGTAGTTGGTCACACCTACAGCATCTTTTCAAAATATATTAACAGCTGTGACTCAAGGCAATAATGACGTCACCTCCACAGAAAACGTAGTACAATTTATATAAATGTACATGTACATAAGCACACATAGGATGTACATCACACATCCATTTACTGTTAAGGTCCTTCAAAGTCTCTCACCAGTGTGTTCTCCCCACTGGAGCTGTTCCAGAGCCTCATGCGGTTGTCTGTGCCAACTGTGAGCAGGTGAAGTCCATCACTTGTAAAACATAAGCCATTAACTTTCCCATTGTGAGCAGTATTTGCTGCAATGAAAACACCCAGTTTATCTTTTTCTGTGTTAAGCATATTTTAGACATGTTAAAGAATAACTCATGAATTACTTAAAATATAAGTTCATCATACTGAAAACTAACCAACCTTTAGGTTATGTAATAAGATAAGCTCCATTAAAGGAACCACGGCTACAGAGCCACAACGGCACAGGGTTGCGCTTGACTTACACTTAGCACAACCTGTAGTTTTTACGGTGACACAAAACACAGAGCATCACTACTTCTTTAATCTACTGTAGCTTTCTGTGTAAGACTAAGTTTACATAGCTGGCCTTAGAGCAAAAGCACAAGCAAACCAAGCTTTTATGTTGGAAACTTTAGAGGCAAAAGCATTCCACAAAGTTGTTTGGATCTTGGGAGAAAGAAAACCACAAGTTTGATTTAGAAACTGATTCACGGTGAATGCCATTTACAAAAGTTAATTCTTAATTTGTCACTATGTACTTATTATTTGATTTCAATAAAAACCCAATACTGTATTTCTATATGGATGTGGTCTTTGTTACCTGACTCAACAGCCTGTGACTTCTTCCCATTATGCTGATCAAGAGTGAGCAAACATCCTGATGCTCTTCTCACATCCCATAATTTTACTCTACTGTCAGCACTGAGGAAAAAAATAATTATACTGACATACATAGCTAGGGTAATGACCTCACTTTTCACTTGAACAGAGAGGTTTCACTCTATAGCACAATGATACTCCTACAATTGCACTGTATTCTTATTTTCAACAAATATTCAACATTTAAAACTCAACAGTCCCATAAAATAGTGGGGGGGGCAGCAAAGAAAGGTGAGTTTCCTTATCAGGGTCACAAGGACACAACACTGCTGTTCTCCTGCAGCACTTACTAAGATTTATTTTCTACTATTTCCCAAATGCTATCTAGACAGTAAGCAGTTATGGAATCTCACTGTTTAAGCATTTACTTAGCATCAATTTGGGGTATCTTGCTTTTTATATTAAAAGTTTGAAAACAAGATGCAATCTATTTTCATTTGCTTTGTGCTTCAATACATCTTTGCTAGAAAACTGTATTTACTATCTTTTAGAGAGGAGACATTTTATTTTGTTTCAAGGCAACCAACAAAGGCGAAGACAGATGATGTATTGATTTCTCCTCTAAGAAATACCCAGTAATAACATGTGCTCCCAATCAGGTCTTTCTAAAGACCTTAACAGTATTCTTTTTGTTTTGTTTTGTTTTGTTTTTCTAGACAAAGTTTCTCTGTGTTGCTTTGGGGGCTGTCCTGGAACTCACTCTGTAGATCATGCTTGGCCTCGAACTCACAGAGATCTGCCTGCCTCTGCTGCTGCCCGCCGCCCCCCTGCCCCTCAGTGCTGGGATTAAAGGTGTGTGCCACCACTCTATTTTACTTATTTACATGCCTGTGTGTGCATGCATGCATGAACACAAGCCAACTTGCACGAGCTGGTTTCCTCCTCCCACCACACCGGTTCTGGGGAATGAACTCTGGCTGGCAGGCTTGGCAGCAAGTGTCTTCACTATTAAGTCATCTTGACAGTCCTAGATGTCTTTTGACAGCTACAGTCCAGATATCAAAAATCATATACTTTACCTCCTCAGGTCATTGATCCTTCCTACCTCTTAGAATGTGTGTGTGTGTGTGTGTGTGTGTGTGTGTGTGTGTGTGATTTTCTTTGTTTTAGCAGGGCTTCCACAACTTCCATATGTTGAGGTACTTTCCTTTAGATACCAAAATAAATAAATAAATCGCTGTACATGTCATGTGATGTTTAGATTTCTGTACCTTGGGATAGCTGTAGTCTATTTCTTCAATGGAGCACAGCTGTCAGCAGTCCTATATCCTTGTAGCCACCCCTCCCACAGCCTATCTCTCCTCATTCCAGCATCTTTACTGTCTCACCCTTCAATAAGCACCCCACCCTCACACCGTTCAAACTCAGAGGGCAAGCACGCCTACTCTCTTCCTGTACAAGTTACTGATGGTCTACTTTTTACTATTATTTATCCCTCCAACAAACAGTCTCCACCCTCCACTCTGCTGGGCCTCTTCCAGTACCAGTGCCTGAAGGTCTATTGCTACTGAGACATTCCAGGATGTTCTGTAGGCATGGGTCTTTCTGACATCATGATCAACCTGTGTCTCTAGTACAATAGTTGGAACAGGTAGTAGCCATTACATACTAACAAACTAACTCATAGATGGGTGCTTTATATCAGAGCAACATTCTAGGCTAAAGAAACTCAAAAATGCCACTCTTAAGTGAGTAGTAGTATACTTCCATGTAGGAAATACCAAGTTTTACTAACAGTGCTAGACGATTTATGCAGTACAGAGGATCTCCTGCTTTCTTTGTTCATGCAAAAGGAGGGTACTGAGCAGATGGACAACAGGTAAGGCCTGCAGCACCAGGGTGAGGACATGAGTGTAGGTCTCTGAAAAGCCACATGCAGCTGTGCACTTCTGTAATCCCAGAGCTGGGATATGGAAATAAGCCAGCTCACCTATCTGACCTGATGAGCCTGAGGCTCAGTCCAGGGCCATGGAAATAAATACAGAGGAAGGTGAATGACACACTCATTGTTATCTCCTGGCTTACACACACATACATGTGCACTTGCACACAACACACACATACATGTGCACTTGCACACAACACACACAAAAGATGCAAAGGGTATTTTCTTTGCCGATATAAACTGTACTCAACTACATACAACAAAATATGTATCTTATAAAAATGCTATCTTTGGAAATGCCTCTTATTAACAGTAAAACCAAATATACTGCACTTTACCTGGCTGTTGCCAATATATAGTCATAGCGTGGTGACCAGGAAACTGCTAGTATTTCCTGTCTGTGACCTGCAAATACAAGTGTATAAGTCTTATAAGGCGCTAATAATTTTGCCCGACTCAGAATACAGCCAGCACAAACAGAATACAGCAGCTGAAGGGATAGGATCTTACAATGGCAGTGTCTGTGTTTAAATACAAATATGAGATTGGTGGAAAGTTCTTAACCCAGGACCTTTTAATAAAAAAGGATTGGCTTCTGCTTTGGGAAAAATACAACTACTGGTTTGTATCCATCAGTCCCCATAACTGATGCATCTATCTCTATAACAGAATGCATGGCAATTAAACATAATCATTTTAAAGAAATAAAATATTTCATAATTTCTTAAAAAGTTTAAAAAAATCTTGATTGAAAAGGCATTTTAACAGGTTTGTTTCTAGAAAACACAGATAAGTTCATAGAGTAGTTTTACCTAATGGAGCTATTCAAATCAGACATTTTCATCTGCCTATCTTTGTAACCACAGCAGTTATTAATAATAATGTGAGTGGTCAAGAGCCTTGCTGCTTTTGCAGAGGGCTGGGATTGATCTCAGCGTCACAAGACAGCTCAAATTGTAACTTAAGTTTCAGCTCTTCTGACCTCCAAGGGCACCAGGTACACATGTGGTGCACATACATTCATGCAGGGAAAACACTCAAACTCATAAAATAATAAAACATTAAGAAAGGCTAACCCTTCCTTCAAGTTTTTATGGTATTATTATGCTTCTCAGTGATTGATAAAAAAAAAATGTATATTTCTGAATTACATCCCAACATTTCGTTGTTTAGAATTAGGTGATGGCTAAAAATGAATAAAATCATTTATATTAATATAGTTTTCCTCAAAGTATTGCTTCAAGACTTTTTCTAAAGTATCTGTACTGAGAAGATTTTAAAGAACGAAGCTTCCTCATTAGTGATATAATCAAACAGTAGACATAAGGCACATCTAAAGATGTGAGCTTCGTTACCCGTTTGCTGTTTTAAAAGTAGAAACAGCTGAAGGCCCTGAGCTGGGTTTTCTATTTCCCCTCTCCTCTGAGTTTCCCTTACATTCACTGTTCGTACAAATGTCTCAATAGTCCAGTTTGACAAGAATAATGCACAGAAGGACTTTTATCTCTCGGTTGACTTAACAACTAGCACAAAATGCATCAGTCATGGCACTTACAATGAACACACTGTTAGTAATGTTTCTTTTTACTGAATAGTTTACTCAAAGGAGTAGCTGTTCCAAATTTAAAAATAAATACCCTGGAGAATGTGAGAACAGGATCCAGACTTTAAGTCACAAAGTTGTACCTTGGGTCCTCTAGTACCAACTGTTAAAGAAAAAAAAAAAATAAATAAAAAGATCATATATAGTATTTATTATAAATGATAAGAAAAGATCCCAGCAAATTACCATTAAGAATTACAATATTTTCATTGTATCTACACAGATACAGTGAGTGAAATATAAAATGTATGTCATACTAGATTTACAAACAACTAAATCACCTTGAATGTTTATCACTACAGAAATGTTCCTGTGTTTGTGCTTTATTCATGCAGAACTGTGTGGTCCAGCCTATTCTCATTATAACAGCTACACATCCGCAAAGGCTGTGTGTTCCTGTCTATTCTTATTACAAAAGCTACAGATCTGCACAGGCTATAGGGAGACTTCACAGCAAAATACCACAAGGAACTCTCTAGCAGAACCTTAAGTGTGTGTATAGTTCTTTATCACATGAAGCCGTTCAATTTCAACTGCTTAGTTTTCCCATGCTAATGCTATTGCTATCCCTCCGGTTGTTGGAAAAGGTTCACAGCAACTGACTGAGATGAGCAGATCTGAAGATGTGTAGGTCAGCTCTTATAGACAGAGCAGCTGACTGATGTCCAGCTGTGAGGAGACTCATGCACTACCTAGGAATAATGGAGTCCTGGGGATCGGACACCTGATAGTATGGTAACATTTCTTTTTTACACATTCATTTTGTGATGTTACAAGAGTCAAATAAATGCCTATTTGCTTTCAATTACAATGTTAAAGAGAAAGTTTTCCTTTTATTGTGTCGAACTGAAAAAGTTATAAATTTAAAAAATTACATTTGAGTGTGTGTGATAGGTCAGGGTGTGTCAAGGTTAGAGCACAACCTGCTGTGGTCAGCTCTGTCCAACCAAGTGGGTTCCAGGGATCAAATTCTAGGTATTAGGTGTGGCAGTGGACGGCCCTACGTATTCAGCCACCTCACCATTCCACGTTGCCATATTTTGTTCACATAAAATACCTTAAAGTTCTGTGACTTAAAAGAACTCCTTAGGGGACAGATACAAGCCCTCCGAAGGAAGCAAAGCAAAGGTAAAAAGAAAGGGAGAGAGGACTGATACTCTCAGTCTGAACACTAGATAATCTCAAGTGCTGGCTTTAACTCATTTGTAGTGTTTAAAGTAATCTTTCCTGGGTTAAAGTTTTTCAGTCACATATAACTAACCTTAAAACGGGAGTTTTCCAATGCTAAAAGGCAAAAGGGGTGTCGCACGCACCTGCTACCAGACAGTGCTTGGTGGCTGCTGGGGACATGTGATGACTATAAATCGTTTCTTCAAAAGTAAACACATCAGCAGCCTGTTAATCAAGAGACATTAAAGTTGTGTAAAACCAAAGCAACAAATTTTCTTTCCCACATTTTAAACATTTTTAATCGACTGTTACCAATTTATCAACTGAAGCGTAACAAATCCCAGACATCGAGGAAAGACAGTCTCTGGCTCCCCACCCCTCTCTAACAGGCTAGCATCTCTACTACCTCACCACCCCTGTCCATCAGGCTAGCATCTCCATCGGCAATCCGGCTAGCTAGCAATCTGTCTCTCAGTACCAGGCGGCCTCAGTTTCCAGGGTGCTAATCACACCCCTCTTTCTGAAAGGATAAATTGCAATTGTCTGTAACCACAGCACCTATCCTTTCGGCTTTCCTCACCAACTACTCTCCTTTTGAGCAAGCCCCAGAGTCCGCAGCATTCTTTCCTACCCACTTTTTCCTAGCTGAATGCACTGCAACCAGGCTTCAGTAACAAGTGCCGGCCTACAGTGCATGTTTCACTAAACTAGTTGCAATATCCTGTAGCATTTCCAATTTTCTCCACTGTCCACAAACATCCCTACTCAATCACAATAGGCGATTAGACCTTCTAGTTCAGAGAAAATAAAAGTCACTGAATCAGAATCGCCAGTCTCGCACGCAGCCTGCACTTTGGCTTAAGCTTCCTCTTCATTTCCTCTGTGAAAAAGTCCTTCCCGCTGCTGCACACACTAATCTCTCTGACCCCTCAACACTGGCAATCTCAGTCTCCAAGTTAGTTATGTTCATCTCTAGCATCTCATTCCCAGCAGCACTAGAAGTCACCTCCATCTTAATACCCCCCAGGACAAAATAAATAAAGATTTCACTCTGCCACCCTTCAATGTTCTTTCCTCCTCTTCAAATCAACCAATTTTAGCAATCTTTAATCACTTAACGTATCTTTTTTAAAACAGTAATTTATTTAATTTCATGTGCATTGGTGTTTTGCTTGCATTCATGTCTGTGTAAAGGTGTCAAACCCCTGGAACCGAGGCTACAGACAGTAGGGTGCTGAGATTGAACCTGGGTCCCTATCCCGACAGCCTGGTTGCCCTATTTGGTATGTCTGCTTGCTTAACACAGCCATTCACCCAGTCTTTTGCACTGGCTCCCAGTGTCGAGACGTATGGGCGTCCCCTTACTCCCTGGCTACTCCTTTTCACGATTTTTACGGCGTCTGCTGCCACTTCTTCTGTCCTATTAACCTTGGCCTCCCTCGGGGTTTGTTCCATGCAAGCTTGTCTTCAATTGAATGTTACTGATTCACAATCTCGATTTTCAATGTACACCTCACTCCCACATCAGATACAAAGAGATCAGTTCCCGATTATCTCCAGATAGATTTCCTGTAAACCTCAAACATAATAAACTACCCAAATCCCACTCTAGAACTTGGGATCGATCCAGCCTTGTGTGTTTTTTGTTGTTGCTGCTCTGAGACTAGATCTTGCTATGCTAAGATAGACCACGCTGGCTTTAAATCCATGCCTTTCCTACCTTAGCCCCCAAATGCTGGAATATAGACATACACCACATGACCAGCTGCTGCTCTATGTCTTAAAAGCTCTCCAATGCATGCCTTCTCAGTCTACCACTGTACATAAAAACGTAGGAGTGAAGCGTTTGTAACATCAAATTTACAGGCAGGCACATATAAAGCTGAGGAAGAAGAGCACTATAAATTAAATTTCACTAATGATCATAACTCTCATCTCTACTACCTATTTTTACTAAGCTATATTATAAAAACTTTCTTTTCCTGCAACTTTTTAGATTAAGAGGGGAAAAGTCTAATTCTACTCCTTAGCTCGAAGTTTTCAAATATAGGACATTTGCTAAGGTTTTGAATGCTGATTCATGCTAGACTTTGTGCTGGGTATTTTATGTATGTTGGCTCATTTAACCCTCAAAACCATTCTAGAAGGTGCCACCCTGGCCCTTATTTACAGGTGAGGGAACGGAGATGCAGGGTGCATTGCATTTGCCCACGGTCACAGTGCTAACCAGAATATAAGCCCAGTTCTCCATAACCATACTGCTTCCATATTTGACACACAGAACACCTTAGCAAGAAACCACACCGATATGGTTGAGGGTTCAATTTTCCATTGACCTACGTAGCAATTTGGAAAGGTTGTAATGTACTTACCTGCAATGTGTTTGTATCCCACACTTTTAGAGTTTTATCGAATGAGCTGGATGTGAACATGCCTGTGTCATGAGGGTACCACTGAACAGTCTCCACGCTGTATTTGTGGACATCAGGGTGGCTTCTACAAAACAGCAATCGAAACATGGAGACTGCTGACTTGGGTGAGTTTCAAAGGTATTATTATGAAAAAGTAGCAGGCAGAGGTACGATACACTGACATCATACATCCCTGTCCTAGCTGTTCAGAAGGGGAGAGAGAATGTCTAGGCACCTCCAGATTAAGTTCCCACAGTGAGATGTTGGGAGGCCTGCCCTCTCCTAGGGCTCATGATGCGGGATACCATGTGTCACTCACTCCTGTATTGTATGCAGTTGGGGGTGGCGTGTTGGCCAACTGCAGTGGACATCTTTCACCGTGCAGGTGACGGTGGCTTCCTACCGGAAGAAACACACCTTTTGGCTGTTATTTTCTCAGCTCTCATCATCAGAATTGTGGAAAGCTCCACACACTACTGTGGAAATCCACACAATACTGTTTACCAAGAAACTCACTCTGGGACAAGAGACTGCAATTGGTGGGTGTCAATAGGATGTGCTGGTTTCATGGAACTCATCATGCAATTACATATATCTTGTGAAGGTCTAAGTCTCAATACTAGACAAAGGGCTCTGAGCATCTGTAGCACCAAATAGAGGCAAATATAACATAGAGTTTGTATGACTACCAATGTTTGTGTATGTGTATGTATATTAACTAACTTTCCTGCTTTTTCCATCATTTTATATGTGTTAACTATATATTTGAGCCAAGAGTTTGCATAATTCTGACACTGTAGACACATTACTAGGTTATGTCAGAACTGTGTTCTTAAAGGCTATGAGGGAGGCACAGCCAAATGTATGGATGGCAGTATCCAGGTGCCTTTTTTTGTCTTCTAAGAATTCAAACTCCTCCGAGTGACAGGAACCTCTGATTTGTTGAGATGAAGTATCTACCTTCTGCTATAGAAATTGAGGGACTCGAGGCATTGTCTTCTCCTCTTCCTTGGCAACAAAGCTGTGAGCTGCATTTTATTGATCTGTTTGGAACTCTCAATCTCCAGGTCTGAACGGAAATCCCCAGGACAGTAAGCATTGGTTGGGGCTGTAGAGTTGGCTTATGTTGGTCACATGACCAAAGTTCAAACAGAATTACGTCTGTATGTGACCTTGTGTGTTCCCTGATTTAGCCTCTTTCTTTCATTTGGTAAATCTGATTCTCTCACTCCACCATTTCATAAGATACAACCATCCTAATAAGTTTCTACTTAAAGTAAGCAGAGTCAACTTAATATGCTAAGAACCTTGATTTCAATACAGACTTCCCAATGAGTTTTAAATAAAACCAGTCCTTACTGCAGAAATACAAACAAAAGCCCATTTACATTTTAAATTTAAATCTTAAAACAAGACACATGTTGTATCGTTCTCTTACATATGCTGTTATTCTCATGTACATTTAGTAAGAATTTTGGTAGTAGAATCTTTTCAATGCTCAAGAACAAGCAAATTAAGTATACTAATGATAAATATTACAAAGTGGTCTAAGCCACAATATTATAATAAATAACTATAATGAAAAGCTTACCCACAATACTATAATTTTCTGAAATTATTTTTTAAATGATACTGTAAAATACCCATTTTGAAATGCAAAGTCATACTTTTGGAGTTTGAATTTAGGAATAAAAGTCATAATATAATAAAGACACACTAAACATTTACTTATATTACACATCAAAAAAAACCCATCAAATCACAGTTCATAGAGTAACATTATATAGCATATATACATATATGTCAAATGTGTAAGTATCTGTTTCACTATTTAATAAACTTAATGTGTTAAATTTTTATCTCAGATAACCTTAAGACTTTAAAGCCAGGTGCGGCTTTAATCCTAGCACTCAGGAGGCAGAAGCACTTTAGAATTTGTTTTTTTCTTTTGATTAAGGTTCAGGGAAAGTGTGTAAATGGCTCAAGTCTCTTATAAAGCAGATCCCATATTGTGCTACCTCTCAGGGAGGCTCTAGGCTATTGTTACCAATCTTGCTTGTCCATCATTAACTAGATGGTAAGGTATTATTGCTGAAGACACACTGCACCTTGGTTGTAGGACATGGAGAAATCAAGCCAGAACTGACCTCAACCCTCCTCTCAGCTGGTTAACTTTCACAGTGCAGGGAGGTAGCCCGCAGGCCACTGGGAGAGCAAACCCTCATCACTGGTCCCACCCAGAAATGGACCTGCATCCTACAGTACCAGCTTGCCAGGCAAGCTGAGAACAGTGTCAGGACTGGACCTGAGATCTACTGCACAGAAAGCAGCTTGTGCTGGCACTGTAACCTTGGTCAAACGCCCATGCTAGGGAGTTCACAGGCTCTGCAACAGCTCACCTACTACTGCAGTTTGCTGAATGGACCTGGCGTCAGCGGCCAGTTCTCTCCTACTATGTGGGTATCAGGGATAGAACTAAGGCTATCAGGGGTAGTGACAAATCTGTCCCCACTGAGCCACTTACCTGACCCTGAACTTTTTCTTCAGCTGTATTCCTTTCCATTTACACAGCAGGCTTTACAGCTTTTAACATGCTTTAAAAATATTTAGTTATCACAGAAACCAGGGAACAACCATGGAGCAAGAAAATTACCTCTAAAACAAAACAAGCCAAAGCTCAGAGAAATTTTCAAACATTCCATTTCAAAAATGAACCAGCACTGTAAACACACAATTATAAACCTCAGGGACACCCTCACCTAGGGGCCTCCCCAGTGGCTTGGGAACACCTACAGCAGGGTGACTTCTGAGCTCTGTGAGCTTCTCCCTGTGACAGTACCACTTGGCAGCTAGTCTGTAAGGCAAAAGATCTTTAAATAACTCTCTCTCTCTCTCTCTCACGCAAGCGCGCGCGCACACACACACACGCGCGCACACACACACACACACACACACACACACACACACACACACACACACAACCAAATAGCCAGGGATATCAGGACAAACAGGTATATTTTAAGTTGAGCATGTTTTGTTTCTCTGTGTAGCCCTGGCTGTCCTGGATCTAGCTCTGTGTACCAGGCTTGCCAAGAACTCAAAGATCTCAGAGATCTGTCTGTCTCTGCCTCCTGAGTGCTGGGATTAAAGGTGCACCACCACTGCCTGGTTCAAGCTGAGCAGTTTTGAGTGAGTAAATAGGTAAGAAAGAGGGATGCATGTGTGTATTTTTGTGTGTTTGTGTGCATGTATGTCGAGAGGACTGCCTGCACATTTATTACATACTGTTTTTAATATATTCCCCATTAACATGAGTTGAAAATTTAGTTTACATTTGTATTAGCTAAAAGATTCATAAATGAACCTTATACTAAGTGGTATTAAAAACCATAGCTACTGAAGTATGCTCTGTAGGTACAGAACAAAAAAGACATTTATTTGAAAGCTGATACAAAAACTAGAGAAATCGCATGACAAAAGAATCTTTTGACTTGTAATTGTTTTTTAAAAAAAAAAAACAAAAAACAAAAACATCAAGGGCGATCACTGTTAATAGAAAAATTTGTTTTCATGTTTTGCATTTGATGCAAACAATATTGAACTACATATTCATGAGTTACACTTTCAAATACACACCTGCCAACGGAACACACTGCTTTACATGTGTAATAGGGTTGTCTGCTGGAGTTCTCAAGGTCATAGAGTACAATCACACCATCTGAACCACCCGATAACATGCTGACAACAAAAAAGTCATGTTAATCACTGTAAGGAGTCCACCTACTGATGGTGATTTCATATCTGCAAACACTGACCTATATTTACCCCAAAGGCAAGCACAGTTCATTCTAATAGACTTCAATAAACTGCAATTCCTTAATATCTACAAAGCCCAAATACAGAAAAACTCAACCTCTGATCATTTGAAATTTACCTCCACAATTGCAATGAAAGAAAAGATGGTAGAAATTAGATGGCAAAGATATTTACTTAGGGAAGTAAAATATTACAGTATCATTTTACATGTCTTCTTAAATCTGTACTAAATGAAAACAGAATTAGCCTATTACTGACAGTAGCTACCTGTTCCTGGGCAAGTTATATCACCTACTCAATCTTTGAGCATTTGTAAGAATAGCAATAATGAAGTGGGGGGGGGATAGCAATAATGAAGGGGGGGTCTTCACTTAAATGACAAAGCGGATACGACAGTAAATGGGAGCTGGCTTCCTTTCTTTTATAAACATATTTAATCAAGTCATTTGTGCCGACTACCTACAATGCTAATGAACTGTGAACAACAAGGGCACACCTTGCTCCGGACCACCTGGAAGGTCAGTCTAGCAGGAAAGACCTTGTATCTATCTCCTTGGTTGTACAGTATTTATTTAAACTGGTACCTGAAGGCAGAAGAGAGAGTAGCCAGCAAGGTGTGTGAGAGTCACAGTCTATGCCCAGTCTAGAGAACGAGGAAGAAAGCACTCTTCAAGTGTGGGAGGGAAGGGAGAGGGGATGGAGGTGCCAGGGGGAGAGAGCCTTTTTCCTGGCTGTCCTGGAACTCACTCTGCAGACCAAGCTGGCCTGAAACCCAGCGATCCACCTGCCTCTGACTTCTGAGTGCTGGGAGTAACGGCGTGAGACCACACCAGGCTCTAGCTGTCCATTTTACTCCAAGTAAAAGGGTTTATTTTATTATAGCTTTGTATTTATTCTGCTTGCTTGCATTGGTCTTCTCTGTGCATTCCTGTCGTATGCAGCCTTGGTTGTCCTGGCCTTTATTCTGTCTGTCTGACTGACTACCTTCACTATGTTATTCCTTTCCTTTGGAGGAGGGGTTAGTGCTGGGATTGAACCTATAGCCTTACATGAGGCAAGCACTCCACCACTGATCTTAAGTTTTTGCTACTTTTTTGGCTTCTGTTTCTAAGGAATTACACTTTGTATTGATTTTCTTATGTTCTTTATGCTTTGCTTCGTTTCTGAAATATTTTTTCTTTTATTTATAATGTTCCCTGGGTTTGATAACCTCTTTTCTGAAATTTTTCTCATTTGAATTTATATTATTTAACTAGAGCTTTCCTGATTCTGTTCATGCCTTAAAGTTGTACCTGGGTTGTCTTTGTGTCTACTGCTCAAGCTGGGTTCTATTCTTCAGTTAGGGCAGGTCGGGGAGCTCTGACCTATTAGCTCCTAGGAGTGATTACAGGGGCCACACTGAGCCCCTTCCAGTCTCAGGTGGGCCTTCAACTCACCTGTAACTGGGGTACACCATGCTCTCCTGGGTCACTGCTATAATCACACGAGCCTGCTAAGCTTTCAGATAACCTACTGGTGTTTCGGGGTTATCAGGCAGATCAGACACCCCATCGCTTTCTGAGAGCCTCCTTTCCTCCACGTGTAAATGCTGACAGCACACACATCTTGGAGTTAACGGGGTTTGTTTCCACTAAACTCAGGGAGGGTTTGCGATTTGTGTGGATACGTCATGGCCTGGTGACCTGGAAGGTCTGATCAGCTTGCCCTCATCTCCCGAGAGCTGGGATTACAGGTATTTGTCATCATAGCAGGGCTGTGCGCATGCTAGCGTACCAACTGAACTACATCCTCAGACCTGGCGTGCTCTTATTTATTTACCAGGTATCGTAAATGCACATCATTGTAAAACAAATGATTACTGTCTAAAATTGAATTTAACTGGCATTTACAATAATGTGAAATATTTTTATGAAAATAATTCTCAGAAGTTTTCCTTTGAGTTTATTTACTACATGAAAAATTAATCATTAATGAAATTAAGTGACTTTCTATTTGTATCTGACACGAATGCGATCTAACTAGGAGGTTAGCACTCTGCTGCTCGTGACCATAGCAAAGAGGAAGGGCACTGCTTTTACACAAAAAGGAAACGTAAAGATGAATACATTCAAAGAATCTTTAAGATGTACGAAGTTCCATCTTCGCAGGGTACTATGCAATGTATTCTCTGTAGCTGAACCTGATAAAATGCGGTCTATGGATGGTCTTCTTAAAACAGCACCTAATCATGGAACTGCACTCTGGTCTACCAGATCTGTGCATTCTGGTTTTGACTGAGGTTTTTAGTGCTTTTGATACAGTGTTCATAGTGGATGATAAATTTAATATAATTGTGAACACCTTACACATACACTGATTTTTCTTAAGGAAAAGAAAACACTTTGACATATACTTTCATCTTTATTTCTTCTTGCTACTAAATGGGATTAAACATATTATGTCTTAGCAAAGGAAGAAATAAATGGCTATAGCTTGTAATAGGTATTAAAAGGCAAACGACTGCACTGAATAGCTCAGACTTCCAATGCGCCAAAGAAATACTCTTCATCTTCTATCCTCAAACATATTTCATTCACGCACACATCAACTGTTACCCACCAGTGAAGCTGACTCTGTTACTGGACCTCAAAGGTTACATTATCCCCATGCCAAACAGCTGGCTGGGACGCTTGTGTATTTTCCCCCACAGGCACCAATGACCAAAAGAAACCAGCTGTCCTTTGCTCCTTGGATCTGCATCTATTTTATAAATGAATGCCCCACAACTGTCCTTCAACAGGAAATATTACGTTTTGCCTTGAAAAGCTAGAGAAAAGAAAAATAACTATTTCACCCCATCTTTTAAGTTTAACCATGTGCTAAATGGGGAACCCTGTCCACCACACATTATTATGGCAAAGATGAGAGGGGAAAGTGGAAATCTGCCAAACCTATCCCGGCTTACGTTACAGTCAACGACAGTACTTTACTATGGAACAGAACTCTAGCGTGACTGCTGAATGGGCCACAGCAGGGAAACTATTTACCTTAGGTTTTTAAAAGTTCATGGCCTGATCATAAACCACATGAAGATGATTTGTTTTATTTCCTTGTAGTGCCAGGGCTTGAGTCCAGGACCTTGTACACACTAGGTGAGGGTCTACTGCTGAATCCCAGTCTCAGCTCACGTGAAGAGCTGGGCTCACTTTCCTACCGCCCTTCTTGTCCTCCCCTTCTGCTCTAGACGGAACCCAGACTGTTGTACATGCACTCTGCCAGAGAGCTGCACCCTCCCCACAACCCTTCCCACACGGTAGTGTGCTGTGACAGTAAGTTGTGACGAGGGCAGCACGTTTAGCTACAGTGTGGGCAGAGCTGTAACAATTAAACAAGCACTTGAAACTGTTTTCAATACAGATTTTCTCAAATTCTTATGACAAATAAGTTTACATGACCATTCCCATCAAATAGCTATGGCAACTGGAAATTTAAATGGGTAAGTAAATTGTACAAGATCACAGAGCTGGTAAGGAAGAAACTCAGTAAAACTGTTGCTTCAAACTTAATTTGCCAAACATATTTCTGCTTTTAATATTTTATTTCCCATTAGACTTCTTGAAAGTAACAATTATATTTAAAAGAGTACCTAAGACACATCCCAGCACTTAGAAACCTCCTGTATCAACATAAATTCCTGGTTTACTATGAATATATTTATGCATAGTAGTTTGGAGAATCGATCAATCTTGCAACAATTTGCATATTTGATTTTCTGTTTTCATTTCAAATGAATGCCAGTTTAACAAATTGCTACAATTTACAATTTTTTTAAAGCATACTTTAAGTGATATCTGAAAAGATAAGATTTTACTGTATCTCATTTAGATAGAAAAGTGAAGACACAACTTACTATCTTCCTTCAACAGGCTCAATATCAAGAGTGTTAACTCCACTGCCGTGGATTCTTTCAACATCTCTGTCTTTGTTTAACTCCAGTGCCAGGACCCTTCAAAAATTAAAGAGAAAACTTAACAATAAGAAAAACTTTAACATAAGCAAATTCCTTATTTCCCTAAGATTACATGGAGTACCACAAACATCGCAAGTCTTTAGTCTCTTACCTGTTCAGATTTGTAATGTAAGCTTCTAAAACAAGTTACCATGCAAATATTAAACGCAAACCATTACATGTAAACATTTCATTGAAGCATTACTTTAAATTTCATTTAAAGAGTTTAAGTCCTTTCAAGAAAAGTTAAATTCTGATAAACTATGCACTGAGGACACCCAGTGGATAAACATTTGAATTGCACAATTTAAAAGATTCTCCTTTCTCTAAGACTGTAGAAATGCAAACTAAAATGCAGCAGTTCAAAGGATGTGTATTATTTTTCTTTTTCTCGTTAGTGCCTTGTTTTCTTTAACCTGTCTTTATTCTTCTGAACTCTACCCTGGGCCCAAACATGAAATGTGTGCTATGACAGTAACCAGAGGACAAATCTGCTGACTGGAGGACCAAGATGGGAGTTCCAGAAAGTTGTGCAATCACAGCAAAGATGGAGATCAGGAAGGATACCCTGTAAAACAGTTTACGAACCCAAGGCCTGGCTCAACCTTGAGTGCAACATGTACGGATTCAATCCTGAATACCCCACAAAAGACTTTCAAGATTCAACCAAGTACCACTTAAGCCACTGCCTGACCAATGATGCATGCACCTGGGAAGACCTAAAAGGCTTTGAAACCACAGCTTACTTACAGAGAGAGGTAGGAACCACAGCCTACATCTAACCTGATAGGTTAGTTACTGCTGAAACAAACAAACAAAAACAAAAATCAACATTCTTCATAGACCCCCTTGTCCAGTAAGCATTCAAATTATATAGGATGCAACTCAAAATGATTTATTCTGCATATGAAGAACTGTGGAAATTACGACTGCCATGGGAAAGGACAGTCAAGAGGAGCCTGAAATAACATGGAGTTGGAGTTACGTGATGACCGCTTCAAGGCAGCCATAGCAAAGTGCTTGGGTGAGAAGTTACACCGTCCACACTCATTTAACCTAACGGACTCGGTAGTAGACGGGAAGTGGTACAAGCTAACAACACAATGGGAAAGTGATGTGGATATCGTTCTGTATATGTTTCTCATACTGGTTAATGAATAAAGCACTGTTAGCCAATAGGAAAGGAAGATAGGAGGGACTAGGAGACAAGGAGGAAGAGGAAGTAGTAAGGAGGAGCCAAGATGGAGAGTCTGGAGAGAGCAGTACGCGGCAGCCAGCTCCGGGTAAGAAGACCACGTGGACATACATAGATTAACACAAATGGGTTAATAATTAAGACAGAGCTAGCTGATAACAAGTGAGATAGGACTAAGCTTAGCATAAGCGGAGTCCAGAAGGAGGGGAAAAACAACACAGGGCAGGCAAAACACGGGAGCGAAACAGCACTGAAAGCTTGCTGTGAACCTGCAAACTCCAGAAGCAATGCTTCGTTGAGTAAACCTGAGAAATCTACATCCACACACATCACAGCCAAATTGCTGACAACTAAAGGCAGAGCTTTAAAGCAACCAAACTGTCAGTCTGTCTATAAAGAAAAAAAAAATAATTCGAATGACAGCATCTCCCCTTTGAAATCTGTGCAGCCATCAGATGTTATGGTGGTTTGAACAGGCACGGCCCCCACAGACTCGTGTCTGAATGCTTGGCCCACAGGAAGTGGCACCATTAGGGGGTGTGGCCATTGTGGAGTAGGTGTGGCCTTACTGGAGGAAGTGTGTCACTATGGGGGTGGGCTTTGAGGTCTCCCATAAACTCAAGCTACACTCAGTGTTCAGCTGCTTCTGCTGCCTGTGGATCAGGATGAAGAGCTCTCAGCTCCTTCTCCAGCACCGAGTCTGCCTGCGCGCCACGATGAAGATAAAAACCCTAATTAAGACAGAAGTACTTTAAAAAAAAAAAAAAAGCCTTCACAAGTCACCCTCAGACAGAGAGTGATGAAATAATGTGGAAAATTGGAAAATTAGGACATTCAGAAAGAAAAAGAACAAGAAAAAATTAATATCTGGAGTAAACAGAACAGACTATTCTTTTCCTTAAAATATGCTTGATGATTAAAAACAATAATTCTAATGCTAATGCTAATTCTAATATATGGCAACAACATATAAGAGAGATAGTAAAGGTTACTAAAGTTTGTAAATTTTAAATGAAGCAGTAACGTTCTGAATGAGAAAGTTATGCAGCCACTAGTTAAGTGTATATAAGTGTATACACACACACATATGTATATATTGCACATATTACATATATAAGGAGTCAAAACCATGGCAGATACATTTAAAATGGAGGGCTAGATTATGTGCATATAAGCCAAATGAAAGCAGTGAAGGGGAACAGAAAGGCTGTGGGACATTTTCTTTAAACGTTCTCAGATTCATTGACTTTACACGTGTGGTGTGTTACGTGAGCACATACGTTGTGTGGTAGGGAGCCCCCCACTGCAGCCCATGTGGCCTGAGCAGCGAGAGGCCATTACTGGGGAGGGCGGGGTCAGGCCCATTCTGCAAAAGAAGCCACACCAGGTGAGTTATTGACCCAGTCCTGGGCAGAAGAGAGGCTGCTATAAGAGCTGTCCCTTGTCATGCTGAGCTCCCAGAGAGTCACTCTGGGGATAGATACCCTTAGGACTATTAGCCCCTGGAGAGTCACTTGACCTCTGAGGGCCAGAGGTCATGACCCATTAGGTTGGGGTGGTAAACTCCACGGAGAGGAGGAAACATGAACGTCTGGTCACCAGGGGCCAGCGAAGGTGCTGGGGGGACACCATGCTGGTGTACCAGGAGTGGTGTCTGGGAAGGCCCCAGCAGAATCACTGTGTCTTGGGCCTGGACGGGCTGACACAGTGCTGTCATTCACAGTGTGAGCAGGACTCAGCCCCTGCCCCCTCTAATGCTCTCCTCAATGACTGCAGCAGGAGAAGCAGGTAGGTAGGGTTTGAGGGCTGGGTCTCTGGGCAAGCGCAGGGTAGTGTCCTCCCCGGACGCAGTCAATCATCTCTCCAGGTGATGCTGAGGGCTGAATGAAGACAAGTGCTAGTCTCAGGCAATGCCGACAGAAAACGCCCCCAGTCTGTCAAACATGGTTCCCAATGACTGGGGGCACCCAGAGGCCTATCTACTAAACTCATGCAGAACTGAACTGCCATTGGCCAGCCACGCAGACAGGCCATGCCCCTTGACAGCGGAATGGGACAGGGTTCAGTGAGAGGTTCCCCTAAGGTATGAACTCCAGGGTTCAGTTGTGAGTTCATCTTCTCCATCCCTTCCAGGGGCAATCCAGGATGGGCTGGGCCAGGCTGCTGTGCTGCCCAGTGGGTGGGCAGGTGCCTGAGTCTCTGATTGGGAGAAGCACAGAACCCCCTTCACTGACCAGACTGCTGTTCTCTGCTGCTGCTCTGTTAGCTTTGTGTTTGGACAGGGTCTCACCGTGTAACCCGGCTGGCCTGGAACTCTCCATGTAGACCAGGCTGGCCTCAGACAGAGATCTAGCGCCTCTGCCTCCTGAACACTGGGATTAAAGGCGAGCGTCACTGTCCAGTTCAGTGGAGTTTGCTAAACAGCAACTGAACTGGGTCTCAGTTCTAACTGATCCAAATCCATTTTCTCAATGAGTTTACCACCAGGCTGCACAGCGTCTCAGATTTAAAGTGATGGCTACAAATGCTAACATGCTTGTTGTCAACTCAGTCCATCATCTACACGGACCCTGCTCAGGGTCTTTCTGTTAGTGGCCCACAGTCTGTGACTTGGCTCTTCCAGGGCTGGACATAAAGCAGAAAAGCCTTATGTCACATCAGTGGTCTCAATCCCAGCATAGCCAGTACCATTTCACTATAAGCACAATGTTTGGGATCACTAAGATAAGAGTTTTCAGCTTTTATTATGACTTAAAAGGCTTCACGGATTGATTGATGGGAGAACATCAGCAGCAGAAGACACAAACAACTCTGATCATGCTTAGAAGTAATCAAAATGTGGTTTAAGGAAGAAAAAAAAAAAAAAGGTTGCATGTTAACTCGTTTAGTTAATCCCAGCACGAGGCTGGCTTGGTCTCCGGAGCGAGTTCCAGGGCAGCCTCCAAGCTACAGCGTAACCCTGTCTCTCGAAAAACCGACCCGAAACCAAACCAAACCCCCAACAATCGAAGTCGTTTTCTGGAACGTTACCATTCCAAACACAGAACACCCAGACGTGAGAGCGCAGACGGCCTCGGACGCCCCCCCTCCCCCGATTGCCCACCCGGCGTCCTGGAGCGACAGGTCCCTAACCGCTCCGCTCCTGGGGCGGCGGGCGCCGTCCGCGGTTCACCTTCGCGCTCGCTGCGCGTGCGCACGCGCGCGCCTCCCCGCCCCCGCCGACCTCCGGTCCCGGGCGCGTTAGCGGGGGAGGACGAGGCGAGCCTTTACCTCCGCGTGGACTGCGCTCTCCGCAGCCGCAGAGGGTCCTCCACACCCGACTGCCGAGCGGACAGAAAGCTCAGCATCCCTCTCCCGCTCACCGCCGGAGGCCCGGGCGCCGCCGTTGCACGACTCGGACAACAACAGGGCCTTTCATTGGACAGCCCGTGGTGCCACGCGACCAACGGGGAGCGGCGTTGCTGGGAGGTGCGAGGACGCGACCCCGCGCGTGGGCGGGGCCTCCTCGTGTGGGCGGGGCGTCCCGGCGGGCGGGCGCGCGTCTGGAGCTGCAGACCCTGAGCGGCGCTGCGCCGTGCGGTGCTGCGCGGCATGGGCTGGTGGCGCGGGCTGCTGCGCTCCGTGTGGAGCTCTCTGTCGAGGGAGGTGAGGGAGCACGTGGGCACCGACCATCTGGGGAACAAATACTACTACATCGCCAAGTACAAGAACTGGAGAGGTGAGAGCGAGGAGCCCTCGCCGCTGCGGGTGGCTGCGCGTCCCGGGCGGGTGGCTGTCGCCGCGATCTGGGGCCGGGCCCCGGGCTGTCCTGACCTCTCCCTCTGTCCTGCGGCCCCAGGGCTGCAGGGATCATCGGGTCCTCCGAGATCTGCCAGCGTGGTTTGGGGAGCCCTGGGGAAAGCTTTGCGTCAGTGCCCAGCGCGGTCTTCAGCTCGCGGCTGTCATCAGAGTTGACCTCTTCCAGTGGCGCTGTGGCTGGGGCACTGTTGTCGCCATCCCTGCGACGAGCAAGTATCCAGACACACCGATCTTTCCGAATTGACAGTTCCCGTTTACTTTCCCAGCACCCTGCGTCCCAAGACCCTGTGTAGGTCGATCTCAGAAACGTTGCCTTTCAAAAGATGTTTTTAAGAAGTGGGGGCGTGTATACATAGTTTGGGGAGTTAAGAGTGCTCCGTTTTTTAGCCAAAGCGGTGGCACACGCCTTCAGTCCAGGCACTCCTGAGGGTGAGACAGGCGTATCTCTGAGTTTGAGGCCAGCCTGCTGTACAAAGCCGAGTTCAAGGACAGCCTGCGCCATACAGAAATCCTGTCTCGATAAACCAAAACAAACAAATAAGAGTAGTTCCATTGTTGTTTTGTTTTTTGGCATCATGTCACATAGCGACTTTCACAATGTCTTCTGTTTTTCTTTATTGCTCCAGTATAGAGTCTCAGGCGAGCGAGAAGTCAGAAGTTGGGTTAGAACCTCAGCTCTGACTGAGTCTCTTATTCTCGGTGGTCTTACAGGAAAGAGACAGTACTAGTGTCATTACTGGAACACTTGAAGACCCATTCAACACCATGTTCCATTTATTTCTCACACTTACTTTGTTAAATGTTTATATGAAATTGTTTTCCTTAGTTTCTTAATTTTTTTAAAAATTTTATGCGTACTATATTCATTGATGTGTACACACTACATGTCACAGAGGTCAGAAGGGACGTTTCCTGGAACTGGAGTCCAGGATGGTTGTGTTTGGAAAGTGGGATTTGACCCTGGGTCTTTTGTTATCTCCAGACCCTACCTAGTCCTTTTTTATAACTTACAACCTTAGACTTTTTTTTTTTAACCCATTGAGCATTTAAATGTGCTGCCCCTGCATTGTGTACCCAAATAACCACTGATCTGATTTCTGTCACGATGGATTGATTGTTCTACACACTTATAAGTGAAAACGTAAACAACTCTTCAGATTTCTTTCTGGGTTCTTCAGTTAGTATAATTATTTTGAAATTCACCTTCCTGTGTACAAAAATTTTAACCCTATGCTAATGTTCCAATGTGTGGAATGTAATGTAGTTTGATTATCCATTCACCTGTTCACAAATCATTGGGTTATTACCAGTTTAAGGCTGTCACGTTAATTAATAACATCCATATAGATAAGGGTATAGATATAATGCTTTCAGTTGTCTTTTTAAAAGATCTACAAGGAGAATGGAAACAACCAGTAGATGTGTTCACTTTATAAGAAACAAAGTGACTGGTGGTACATGCCTTTAGTGGAGATTCAGTTGTTTTCATTTTAGTCATAGCTCAGTTTTTTCTTTACTGTTCATTTTGCTGCTAATACATTGTTTTGATTTTTGTTTTCAAGGACTAAGGAAATTGCCTACTGTTTTAGAACACTTGTTCAGCAGACTTGAGGGTCCGAGTTTGAATCCCCAGCACCTACATAAAAAGCTAGGCATGGCGGTGTGTAAGCCAGGCATGACTTGGTGTGAGCCAGGCATAGTGGTGTATACATGTCAACCCCAGCATTTCAGGGACAGACAGGCAGCTCTGAGGAATGGGTGGCGGATGTTCAGGCAGCCCAGCCAGTAGGCGTTTCCGACTCAGAGACGGCGTCTCCAGGCAATAAGGTGGAGAGTATGAGGAAAACTACTGCCATCCAGCTCTGACCGTCACAGGCATCTGTGCTGGCACACTCAGGTACACGGAACACACACAGCACTCACGCACAGCACAAACTTATCAAGTTCAAAGGCTATAAAGTGACCCACATTTCACATTTTGAAATGTCAGAGGTTCATCTAACCTCTTCACAAGTGGGATATGGAACAGTCTACCTTCAGTGTCTCCCACATGCTAGCCCTTAGCAACTGACCTTTCAGTTCATAACCTTGGCAACTGAGTTATTATGTCAATGATCGGTTTGTCTTTGAGAATATAATACAGAGAGAGTCATAACATATGTAACTTTTTGATTCTTGACAGTCATTGTATGTCTTACTGAGTTTTTGTTTCTGTTTTTTTAATAATTGCTGACTAATACTCCTTGCCAAGGATACGCTGTGGTTTGTACATTTACCCACTGAAGGCCATTTGAGCTGCTTCCAGGTTTTGGTGCGTATGGATAGAATTACCATAGACACTCACATATGGGTTTTGCATGAACATTCGTTTTCATTTCCCCAGAGGCATGGCTGATTTTTAAGCCTTTTTAAAATCACTTAATTTCCATATGAGCTCAGTTACTCCAACTTGTTCTGTAATATGTAGTTAAAAAATATCTGACATCACAAGACATTTTTGGAACTCCAGAGAAATAAATCAGATAATGTCTCCTTAAGAGAATGAGGCTTAATGTCACAATCCACTTGAGTTAAATTTGGATTCCAAGGTTCTTTTTCTTTTGTCACTTGTAGTTCTCAATGTAGCGAGTGTTCATATGTTGTGTTTTATCTGTTTAGAAGTTTATTGTGTTTGGTATTATGAAGGGCACTTTTTTTGTTCCTGTTTTCTTTGAACCAACCTCCCTGTGTAGTTCTGGCTGACCTGGAAATCACTGCAGACCAGCCTGGCCATGATGACCTCAAAGACCTGCCTTTGGTTTTCCAGTGCTAGGATTACTTACCTTTAAGTGTGTGTGTGTGTGTGTGTGCGCGTGCATGCGTGCGTGCGTGTGTGTGTGCGTGCGTGTGCGTGCGTGTGTGTGTGCGTGTGTGTGCGTGTGTGCGCGTGCGTGCACGTGCGTGCGTGCGTTGTGTGTGTGCATGCGCGCGCGCGCGCGTGTGTGTGTGCGTGTGTGAGCGTGTGTGCGCGTGCGTGCGTGCGTGTGCGTGTGTGTGTGCGTGTGTGCGTGCGTGCGCGTGTGTGTGCGTGCGTGTGCGTGCGTGTGTGTGCATGCGTGCGTGCGTGCGTGTGTGTGCGCGCGCGTGTGTGTGCGTGTGTGCGTGCGTGCGTGTGTGTGTGCGCGCGTGCGTGTGTGCGTGCGTGCGTGTGTGCGTGCGTGTGCGTGTGCGTGTGTGTGTGTGTGTGTGTGTGTGTGTGTGTGTGGGCGTGCCACCACTATATAGGTGTACAGAAGGCAGAAGAGGGCATAGGACCCTATGGAGCTCGAGCTATAGGAGTTCCCGTGCGGTTGTTACAGGGTACTGATCTAAGTGTCAAGTTTCAGACCTATCGATGGAACTTTGATCTATTTTCTAGCATAGATATAAGATATATATGTATGTATGAATAGGATTTGGGGAAATAATGAGGTAAACATGTTTTATTAATAATAAACTGTTTTATTAATTTGAATTTTAGGCACTCATTTTGTAACACAAATTAGAAATACATTTTCTTCCATTTCATTCATAACCTCCAGCCTTTCTCTGTTACTTTCATGAGCTTTAATTAACCGCAGTTACCTTTCTTTTGTTTTGTTTTTCTAGACAGGGTTTCTCTATATTACTTTAGAGCCTGTCCTGGAACTCTGTAGACCAGTATGGCCATGGACTCACAGAGATCCGCCTGCCTCTGCCTCCCAAGTGCTGGGATTAAAGGCGTGCACCACCAACACCCAGCATTCTTTCATTGAGTGCTGATTATTTAATATCTCATTTTAGACTTGGGATAATCATTTTGTTTCTCCATACTTAACTGAGCTTCCTGTCCGTGTCTCTGCCTGGGTATAGAGTGGGTACTTCAAAAACAGTATTAAATGAATTATCTTTTGGCCCAGAATTCCAAAAGTCCAAACAGAACAAACCACATACATATGAAGTAGCTCGAAGATTATTAGGACACGTAATTAAGATATAACTCAATAAGTGAATCAGATTAGCCTCGGAGAAATAAATATTCTTACCAGAAATAAGAGTGCCTGTCCATGGTGTAGCCACCTTCTATTGTGGATCGGGTCTGGACCTGCCCTTCAGACCTGCTAAATTGAGTTTTATTACATCATCAAACTTCTGTGTGGATACTTAGCCGTACAGTTTCCATTTAGAATCATTATCTAATTATTCAAAGCATCCACTGTTGTGGGTATAGTAAAGATGCATTGACTTAGAAGGTTTCCCCTCAGCCTATTGGCATGGATTATTTAATGGGTTACCATTAATAGAAGCAGTTACAAAAAATCTGAAAAAGTAAAACAACCAGAACTGAAAGTCTAGTTTCTTTTTTTAGTAAATAATTGGAAGGTGGTAATGTAGTTCTCTGGAATGTGATACTTGACTCCTCAGTGTTTGGGTCTAATGAAAATGTTTCAGTTTTTCCAGCAGATGGCAGCATTGTGCCAAAAAACAAGGTCGACAGTTTTTCCTTTTTCTTTACACTGATTTGAAGGAATGATCACCTTCCACACACACCCAGGCAGGATGAGAGTATTTAATTACCTAAGCAGCAGCAGCAGCAACAAACATAGTGAACAAAGAAGGAAAACAGAAACACGGAGAGAATGGGTAATACGGCAGTAATAGTTTGCTGTCAGTCATTTTCCTCCAAGATTTCTTCTTTCTTTTTAAAAATTTATCTCCCGGATTTCTTCAGTTTTGTATGAAGTTCATAAACTTAAATACTAACTGCATTTTGGCAAAGGGAGAAAGACCTGCTGTTTGCCCTGTGGCTTTAATATGAGATTCAGCAACTGAATCCTAATCTTGATTTTCCTACAGGGGAAATGTGGGATCTTTGTACTGAAATGGAAACTAATTATGGATGATGGGCAATCTATGTTGCGT